AGTGTCTCGGGTTGTAGACCTACTTTGCATGTTCAGATTCCCTCAATGGCACATTTGTCTTATGATTTCTAAATCATTGAAAAGTTAATTGATATTATGCAGTCACGCATGGTGTATGGTTACATGATTATGTCAGTCGGCAATGAAACGTAAATCATTCAGTAGAAGTTTGAGGTTAAGGCCCACATACCTTGAATATCTAGCTCTCTATATCAGGCCTCTCCCTTTAGTAAAACTTCAAAGGAGTGGTGGAACAACATATCAATTAAAAAATCAAAATTCATTTGCATGTTCCTAAACCATAATTAAACAGCTGTTAATTTGTGGTTAAGGAAATGAGATTCTGATGCCCAGCTTAAGTATCGTAAAGTAACGGCGTAATCTTGGACTAAAAACTCATCAATAATGCAGATCCAAGATTTACTATGGTCTTGRAATGGCCCAACTACCCTCTACGTTGTTTTCGTACAAGATACGTATCTTAGAATGCATAATATATAAATCGTTGAAATACTTTGTAAGAAATCGCGCAAACTTGCACTGATTCAGTAGAAAGTTCAGTAGGTCCCTACCAAATGATCAATTGATTAAAATACTCTTGCCTGCCTTTATCAACTGGACTCAGTCACATTGAAGGCACATTGAGCATGCTCAGTGTGCATGGAGAGGTCAATGGGAAAGGAAGGGAGTAGTGGAGATAAACATTTTCTACTCTTTTCTACTACGTGTTGTACTTCTTCCTGGCCAGACTTGCAACTATCGATATTTATTACCTTGATTACACTATCCTATTTAACTWCTTATGAAACTGACCTATAAAATTTCCATCGCAACAGTGACCGTTATTAATTAATCATTGGGATTTTTAACCTTCAGTTTTTGTAATAACTAACTTTATGTTGTTGGTAGCATTCAATGATGAAATGGTTAAGCCTGCACAATGACTAAAATATGACGCCACACGAGTACAAGAACGGCAGCTGCACATAAAACAAATACAATAAAAAAAAACGAAAAAAAAATCAAAACAAAACAAAAACAAACAAGCAAAAACAAACAAACAAAAACAAACAAACAAAACAACAACAAACAAACAAACAAACAAACAAACAAAAAAACACACACCATCCACCTCATTATAAGACAGCAACAGCCCCGCCGAAAGTAATCCAGAGTGTTGTTGGAATTGATTCCACTTGTAGTTTTATAACCTACCGAAATGAAATGGTGTAGCCGTTGTTACCCCTCGATGGACATTAGTAAACATTGTTTCACTGGACAGGATTTTATCCCTTTGTTTTGGGGTTGGTGCGGGTCCTACTTTATAGCAGAAACCACTTGGATAGGAGCCATTGCAGCTGGATATACCTTATAAATGAAAAAATGTTGGTCAGGAGAAGGAGAAGGAGATGGAGAAGGACAAGGACAAGGACAAGGAGAAGGATAGGAGAAGGAGAAGGAGAAGGAGAAGGAGAAGGACAAGGAGGAAAAGGCTGGAGAAAATGGTACGAATATCCCACGCTGTAGCTTACCTCTTTCAGCTTTGTATTCACATATTGACATAAGTTGTTCATTTGAACATGTTATTTCTTTGAACAGCCCAAATGTTCCTTTAGGATAATTTTTCGACATAGCAGCGCACCTTCCAAGCCCATCAGGCTCTTCTATAGATCCTCCTCTCTGCCATTTATCTATTGTTAGACTTTGGTTGTTGATCCAGGTYCATGTTTGCCCCACCTTCTCTAACCCAATATGCCATTCGTTTGGCGGGAAATCAATTTGTTGAACCTTGGAATTGATAAACGCCCACTTTTTCTCTGTTTCCGTAGATATGAGGTTTCCTCCCTTTGTCTTGCATATTTTTTCGCTTTCTTTCCATTTTAGTTTTATGAAGTTGAGTTTGTAGCAGAAACAATATTGCTCTAATGATCATGAAGAATAAGCAAACAAAATTATCTAAAAATAAACAGACGTTTAAAGAGTTTGCTTGCAAACTTGACCTCGGGAAAAAAATTAGGCCGATCGTTTTTAAGACTACTTTGTTAGAAACCCTATAAAACAATAATAAATAATGAAGTATATGACACAAGATGAATGCAGGAAGATCACAAGAAAACGTACTGCGATACTGCCATCACATACAACAGCATTTGATACATCTCATCAACTTAGATTTAATATTTTCTTCGTACAAAGTATAAGGCAACCAGTACTAGAACATGTATAATTATTATATTTCAATAATATTATCAAGTAATTCAAT